AGTCAGAGGGTAATGCAGGACTTGATGTCTCAGTAGTGAGGCTGTATATTATATAAATAATGTTCAGTGTAACGTTCTGCAATTTTTGGTTAAGATGCATCTATTTATTTGTTACTCTTAAGAACGTTGCATTTGTATAAATAAAACATTTGTACGTATTTCCATACTTATTATTTAGTCACAGAATTTAATGATTTTCAGTTCAAATAATAAGGATTTTTACTTGTCTGTTATTTCAGTAACAGCATAACTCTTGCAAGGGCAAATCATAAAAAATATAATGGTAGTAAATAATAATCTTCTTGCTGTCATTTTGATCATTTAGAAGTTATATGGAAATATGTCGCTTGGTACTTGCATCACATCATCTATTAATATCTTAGTATTTTCTCTTTTTTTATAAATGTTTTTATTCTTTCAGGTAATAGACATCCGTGATATAATACGAGCCCAGAGCATAGATCAAATGAAGGATGTTTATATTGTTCAGTGTCTTATGGAGACTGACTTGTACAAGTTACTTAAATCTCAGGTGAGACCTTGTGTGATTTCTTGGGTTCGGAAATTGTATATTTTTTATTATTTTAAATATATTTTTGGTCATGATTGCTCTCTGTTAAGGATTAATGGTTTGCAAGCAGTCTAGTAACCAAATATTGTTTTTGAATGCAAGAATATTTTGAAGGATAAACCAACCGACAGTGACTTCATGAAAAGGCTTTGCAGTTTATTGCGTTTGTTCTATATTTACTTTTTTTTCTTCTTCCACTTACAGGAGAGATTAATAGGGAGCCCACAACATCTAAATTTGTTATTATGATTCCAGAAACTGAGTAATGACCACATTTGCTACTTCCTTTATCAAATTCTTCGAGGGTTGAAGTACATCCACTCGGCAAATGTTCTTCACCGTGACCTGAAGCCTTCTAATTTGCTGCTAAATACCACGTGTGACCTGAAGGTAGACTTATCCATTCATTTTGGGTCATTTCATAAATTGGTTGTTTTTGGTATTTTGATATGCAGGTGCGTTCATGTTCTGTGGTAACAGTTTGCATAAGCTGGTTTGTAAAACAATGGTTATCGCAGGTATTTTTCTGATACTAAATCTCGTTCAACTGCAGATCTGTGACTTTGGCTTGGCTCGTGTGGCTGATCCAGAGCATGACCACACAGGTTTCCTGACCGAGTATGTTGCAACTCGTTGGTACCGCGCACCTGAGATCATGCTGAACTCAAAGGTATGTTTGTGATTTGTAGATTTGAGAAGAGGAATTGTGTGAATTGTTTTCTTTTTCCTTTTCTTATTACAGCAATGGAGATTTTTTTTTTGTTTCATTTGATATGTTTTTACCTTTATCTATAAGGATTTATGAAATCAAAGATATACCTACCCAAATATTATATGAAAAAAGAGATTAGAATTTAGTTGTGGTGTTGTAGATACAGGTAGTTGGTGGATGTAGATATACTGTCATAAACAATAAGTAAATGTGGGACATGCAAATTGAGTCTGTTTGTTAACATGGTGAATTAGTTTCATATATTTGATTGTTTATATTTCCATCACTCGCTGTCAAGCAACAAAGCTACCAACTTAAGTGGTATCAGACTGCACAGCCGCTGCTCTCTTGAGAATATTACAGCTCTTCTGGGTCTAGGTTCAGATAGTCTATATGCATGATCTTGATATAAAATGTATTAAGATTTCTTTTTTCTTTGAGAAACTGTGGGATCGCGCAGAGACAAATTTGTGAATTGTTTTATTTTGAAAATTAGGAATGTGCCTATTTTGTTTTAGTTTGGTGTGACTCCTTTATATGACTATTTGGATATTGCTTCTCTGTATAACCCTTCATGTTATGATTAGATGTAGAATAGGAACACATGGAGAGGGATAACAACAATGTGAGAATTTTGTTTTGATAACCTTTTAGAATTTTTTTGTGTGTGTGTTTGTTGCTCGTAAATTAGTGTTTGGGAGGGGGTTTGGATTATGATTGTTTATTCATAAGTGAAATTTGAATTGTCTTGGTTTATTTGAACATTTTGTGTGCATATTATTGGAAGTTTTTTAAGCTTTTAAGGGATACCAAAATGTAATTTCTTGAGCCAAAGAAATTGGTAGTGGATAGTGTAGCCAGAAAATTATAAATATTTTTCAACAGTTGAGCATAATTAAGGGATCTGGAGGAAAGCAGTGTTTTAACCCTTTCATGATGGATGGCATCTCATTTTGGCATAGCAAAATATCCTAGATGCTGGGCAGTGCCTAATCATATCTTGAGTGAATCTTCTGAGAATCAGAATGAGGGTTCGTTTCCTTGACTATAGGCTAGAAAATCACCCACGCTTGGACTACACTTACTTATTATGTACCCTGGCTTCACCAAACTTTACTAAAAATTTTACTTGTAAAAGAGTCAATATAAATTCTATACGTGCATGCACACAAATATACATACATGCATGCAATGATAATACATACTTACAAGCATACATACATACTTACAAGCATTCATACATACTTACATGCATTCGTACATACTTACATGCATTCGTACATACATGCATTCGTACATACATGCATTCATACATCATGCATATCATACATGCACACATGCATGTTTTCATACATACATACATACATATGTACATGCATGCATTCATATATACATATCTATAGGCTAAACATACAAGCATACATGCATAAATACATATCAGTGGTGTAGGGTGACGGATGAGGGTCATCCGTGTTTTCAAAAGCAGTAACTGGTTGTCAAAAAGACGGAGAATGAATTATTTGGGTGGCATGGTCAGGGTGAGGCAGAGGGCAAAAGTGATTCAGAAATGCTGTGCAGCTTCTTGTATGCTCTCTCTTTTCTGCCAGTTCAGGGAAGGGGTAAGCAGGGTTGGCTAGCTATGATATATAAACGTGGTGAGGTATTGCTCCATAACACAAACAGTTTCACTAAAAAAAAACTACAAAAATTGAAGGGATTAGTATGATTTTAAGTATCTTTATTAGTATCACTAATAATACTAAATTTGGCTCATTAATAGCATGAAATATCGTTAAAGCAAGAATATATTTTTCAGGCCTACATTCAATAATATATGTAAATGTGCAGGCTCACAGTGGAGTGTGCATACGTGCATTCTCCAGGTTAAGCCTTTTGATTTCAGAAAATGGCATCTAACATGAGTTCATTGGCTAACAAGCTGATTAACAAGAAGCCATTGCCCCATCATACTTTCCGTTTTACACCTTTAATAACCACTATCTCTCTCTTTCTCTCTCTCGGCAGGGCTACACAAAGTCTATTGACATCTGGTCGGTAGGATGTATCCTAGCAGAAATGTTATCCAACCGTCCACTGTTCCCGGGCAAGCATTACCTGGACCAGCTCAACCACATCCTGGGTATCCTTGGTTCTCCATGCCAAGAAGACCTGGATTGTATCATCAATGAGAAGGTAAGATTGGGGTGGCTAGAAGTGGATTGTTTAGCATAGATTTCCTTTTTTATTTACTCTTGGTACTTGAAGGATTATGGATGACTGAAAAAATGGAATTGATATTGTTGTGTTGGCCTTTATTAGCTGGTGGAAGAGCATATAGACTGTCTTAATGGACAAGTTTTTGGTCTGATGATTCGTGTCAGTTGTGGATGATTTAATACTGAATGATATGGTAGAATTGGATGCTGGTTATCTGTATGGGAGTTGCAGCCTCCCAGAGTGGGACAAGAACTGTGGAACAAACCACTGGAACATTTAATCCATTGTGTGAACATAGTGGGTTAAATGTACTGTCTTTGATAATGAGTTGATTTAACCCTGTTACTGCAGATTCAAAGTACCAAGATGGGACTGAAATAGTGTCTGTAGTCAGGTAGTGAAGTAATCTAGAATCTCCTTTTGGATTTTGCCTGTATGATTCTTTGTATACAGAGTAATGCCACAAAATATTGGATACAGTTATATAAGAATTGATATGAAGAGTGTTCATTGCAACAAATGTAGAAAATGGTAAGAATGAGAATGAGCGTTTTCACAGCACATGAGATGTGTTTAACCGGTTTCAGTTACATCATCAGACGTATATGCATCACCAAGGTTACAAAACACAAGTTCTATAACTTGTTGCTCTTTACCGGCAAAACTATTGCTGCGGCCTTGGAAAATTTGAAGCTGCCCAATGCAATGCATACATTCTCCTCTGTTGTAATGTTTGCAGTATCCATCCCCCCCCCTCCCCTGTTTGTGCAATCCTTTATAGATCACTTTTGCCTCTACCTGGCTAGATATCCAGCTTCATCAAAGTATATCACCATGGCATTGGAAGATCTTTGGTGATGGATACTGACTTAGTGTTCAAGGATCCTCGTGGGAAAACCATGTCTTTTTTCACTCTTACTAAGATTTATTGCATCTGCTGCAGGAAATACAGTATACAGTGCAGTCTGTGTTATTTGTGGGCAGCTTCCTGTCTTATATTAAATATTATATCTTTTCACTGGGTGTACTGACATTTTTTATTGGGTCAAAGAGCTTAGGAAGGTGACAGAAGGAGTTATTTAGGCTGTGATGTAGGTACATAAATGAGAAAACTACCAAATGACTGTGAGAGCCTACCTCGGTGTATTTCTTGGGAGGGGCAAGGGCATAAGGGCCAACATGTAAACTACATATGCAGGAAGTTAGCATCAGGTACACTTGTGTGGACCAGTTTGTTGCAAATATTTATACTGCATTTCATAATGACATTGTGCATAGATATGAGGTCCTTTATGTCCAGAGAACACTTTTATGCTAATTTCAGAATAAAACAAAATCACAAGGATAAGTGAGGATATATTTTGTAAGATTTTTTTTTGCACATTTACACATGAAATACACTTTCCATTGAGACTCCCTGGTAATAAGCTGTAGCTTGTAAAGGAGTACAAAGTACTGTTTAAAGATAAAAAGTATAAATAATGATAATATTAATTCGTTTTGGCTCTAACTGTCAGTAATGTCCAATAGTGGTAATGTCCAATGATGTCCAACACTATGGTGGCATGTGTAAATAAAGCTGGATATTTACCGGACTGGAAGTGTGCAAAAATGAACCATGGAAAATGTAATGAACAGAAAAGAGAAATAATAGAAGCTACACACATGGCAATAGAGGTGAATGTAAATGCTGTATTGGGCAGCTTCAAATTATCCAAGTTACTGGCAGTGGGAAAATCTTAGCTCATATTGATATAGCTAATATATTATATATATATATATATATATTATATATATATATATATATATATATATATATATATATATATATATATGTATGTTTTGTAATCTTGCAGACACATGCATTTGTGAAGATGTAATCAAAACCATTCACATACATCTCTTGCACTGTAAAGGTTTTAACCAGATGATTGCAAATTTATGTAACAAATTTTTGTGCTGTCCCCTCTTGTTTTTTGTGAACTTTTGTTACAATTAGATCGCTCTACATGCAGTCAGCCACTAAGGAGTCTATCAGTAGGCCCTAGTGATCACACCTATTTTCCTCCTTTGCTGAATAGCAGAAAAATATTTTTTTCTTAATATTAACCCCATGATCTGAACGATGTATGGTCCTGTCATGGAAAAATCTGGGTCGAGGGCCGGGTGATGCCAACTTGCCGTCATGAGTGAAGGCCATGGTGATGGAAAAGACTCGCCACGAGCAAATCAAAAGACTAATATGGTCATTGGAAAATGGCAAAAAGAATCTATCCAAAATTCAAGGTAAAGGGTAAAGGGTGAGAAAAGTATTAATAACACTAACTGACTCCGTGGGATTAACCACTTTTGGAGCCATCTATGTGTAAAGATGATTAATAGACAGAGAAACACATCTGACAAGGCATGTATTTTCACCATCCCAGCAACATTGGGTTAAAACTATGAAGTACAGGAATTAATTTTTAGGTATTTGTAGGAAATTTCCAATTGAAATTGAATGAAATTAGATCTTAATTGTAAAAAAAAAAAAAAAAGAGAGAGAACTTTAGGAAGTAGGTTAAGGAGCACCTACAGATATTACTTGTGTCATAAATGGATTAACGTTCTTGCTCCTGATTCTGTTGTGAAATGAATTTTTGTCCATTTTCAGGCTAGAAGTTATCTCCAGTCTCTACCAAACAAGCCAAAGGTGCCATGGACAAAGCTGTACCCCAATGCTGACCCCAAAGCCTTGGATTTGTTGGACAAAATGCTGACCTTCAATCCTCACAAGCGCATCACGGTGGAGGAGGCTCTAGCACACCCCTACTTAGAGCAGTATTATGATCCAGCTGATGAGGTTTGTACTTTGTGGCTTGGCCTTTTGAGAGCCTGGTGTGAACAAAATGATTAGGATAGATTGAAAAGATTAGTAGAACATTGAGGCCTGAAGGAAGGTGAAAACTTTGCCAATTAAATACTGTAAATCCTCCCTATTTCAGCTGTTGCTCATATTGGATAAACAACAACTGGCAATTATTAGTACTATTTGTGTAGCAATTTTTTGTATGTGTGATTGACTGTGTATCTTTTTCTTTCAGCCTGTAGCTGAAGAGCCATTTAAATTTGAGATGGAACTTGATGACCTGCCAAAGGAAAAGCTCAAGGAATTAATTTTTGAAGAAACTGTACTCTTTAAGCAGAGGCTTGCAACAGAACAGGCTATGCAGCAGAACTGAATACAAAGACATGACTTAGCATTATTACAAGAGACGAAGGGTACGTTCTAGAGGAGACCTACTGATTGGTGGCATTCATCTTTGGAATACTACAAGGAATCGTTCAATAATCCCAAAAGGGAGATCACCTGTCTACAGAATAAGTGTATGTGATAAAGTGCTTTATCTTAAAAATCAGTTGGAAAAAATGTATAGGAATAAGACTTAAAACACAGGAGTATGTGAAGGATATTAACATTTTCTAGCACCAAAAAAATATAAATAAATAATTAAATGAATAAAATTAAAAAGTAGAAGAAAGAAATATGTCTTGGATGAAGTGCCTCTTCTAAGTGAGTTATCAGGCAAAATGTGCAAAACTGATAAAGTGTCTCGTCTAGGAAGTGTGCCTGCAGAGAGCCCTCTTTCTATCCTTTGTGACGGGAAATGCTCTTTGATGATTGAATGATTGCTGGGAACTTACCAGTTGATGGCTGAAAAAATGTGTGGTCTTGAGGAAGGGTGCTTCCATGATGCTAGTGATGCATTTCAGTCTTGTGGCACCTCACTCTCAACCTTCGTTTCATTTGGACAATACTGGCTTTCTGGCTAGAGATTCATTGCTCTTAGGAAGCAGGTGACTGATTGTTCGCAAGCAAATGTACACGTTTGGTTGCTCTTCAGTTATACCAGCTCGGCATGTTTCTGTATTGCTAAAAATTTCAAACTCCTGGTGGCTGGTGGTTTACTGTTCAAAGGAAAAAAAAAAAAAAAAAAAAAAAAAAAGAGAGAGAGAGAGAAAAAAAGGTAAAAAAGAGAAGCATTACTCTTAAAGCGGTGATTCTCTTCCTGTTGGAATGCTGCTAAGTAATTGGGTTTTCTTCCGTTGGAAAATTTTCTTGCTAATGTTTTGATGTTGTTTGTCTTGGGGGCATGTCACAATAGGGAAGTTATATATCAAAAAGTGTATTTGTGATGGAATTTCAGAGTTGTGTATCACATATGGTAGCATTACGTTTTTTTGTAGCGGTCTACAATTTGTTTTGCTGTAATTGTTTTACACACTGATTGAACGGCTAGTGGAAAGCTCTCCATACTCCTTAGGATTCGTTAGTTTTGTATTATTGTGTTGGTTGACTGTTACCCCTGTATTCCTAGGAAGTTAGTGGGAGGCTACCAATGGGTGACCCATTTCTCACAGGACATGAGTGGACCATTAATTTAAGGAGTTGGTGGATTATTATCCTTGGGTCATAAAACCATTAATTCTGGGAGCAGGCAATATAATTTACAGGCTGTTGATGAACCATTATTTCTTGTATATCCTTAGCAATTTATAAATTTTTCACTTGCCAAGAAATTCCCTGCCCTTTACCACTGCTCCTTTCCATTTATCTATGCAGTAGTTCACTCTCTGTATTCTGCATTAGCCTAAATACTTTGAGAGCTGTTTCATATACCAAAATCTGGCATGTGAATAAATCTGCTAGTAGCTAGTAATAAATGTTGGAGGAGGATTCACTACAGGAGAATTTTTCTGTTTACTTTTGTTTTATTTTTGAATTGGTAATTATGGATTGGCTATGAAAGCCAGAATCAACATTTATATATTGGAAACCTCTGGTACCCTTTTAGGATGAAGTGCTGAGGATGTCACACATTCATGTTTTTTATAAGTACTTGTAGAACTTTTAGAGTTGACTTAAGGAATATGGGAAAAATTAACTGAAGTGCTGGTGATAAGGTTCATTTGAGTATGGCTTTGATGAAGGAGTGGAGAGAATACAGACGTTGATGCCTTACATGATGAGGTCCCAGGAATTTTGCAACAAGCATATCACTTCCCACTATTGTCGGGAGGGGGTCCAAGAGTGACCGCGCGAGCAGTGGGAGGCATCCTACTCGGTCGCCCGTACTCAAGACAGCAGAATTCATCCTGCTTTTTGCATTTATAGTTTTAACATTGAGATTAATCTATACACTCAAATTATTCTTGTATCTTCTGAAGTCGTTTTGAAATATTTGTGAATTATGTGTATTCTGTTTTTAAAAGTATCCCCCTTTTTGAACTTCCATTTATATATTTCCCCCCCCCCCCACCACCATTTTTCTTTTCTTTTTTATGGAATATACAAGTTAAATGTTATATTACAATTAAGCATGACATCTCTGAAAACTCTAATGATATCTCTTGATGTACGGTGTAAATCTTGGTCTGTTTGTTAATAACCAATTTGCAGAACTGAATACAATCCATGAATGTTGGAAATCAGACCTCCAGGAATTCTGTTGAAAGGTAGACAGCAGAGGCCATTTGAGATCTGTAGGAGGCATTAGTTACTGTCTATTGATACTGGTATTCTAGCTCATAGACAGTTGTGGTAAATGTATCTGTGTGTGTGTGTATGTCATATTATTTGTATCACATTGTTCCCTCACATTGGGGTGATCCATTAATTAGGTCAGTGCTGGATTTTTCATCATTGCTATCACAATATTAGTAACATGTTCAAAAGGTGCGATGTTGAACTTCTAACAGATGCCCGCAGTTTGCCGAGTTCTTTCCTTAAACTTGTAAGATATTTTTATGGTTAGACTCATGAATTGTATTGTAAAACAGAGTGACTTCAAGGTAGAAGATTCAGGATTCAGGATGCTTTCCAGTAAAAAAAAAGAAAAGAAAGAAAAAAAGCCCATAGTGAATTTCAGTAATAGTTGGAAACTATTCTCCGTTATTGAGATTATGAATATAATATATATATATTTTGTCACACCTGTTTTCATAGTGTGACCATTTTGCTAATATGAGAAGCACCTCTGAGCCCTTCCACTGGTATTCAGCATGACATAATTTTAGGATCACCTTGTATAATGTTTACAGTGTGTTGCTGTGGAAGAGCACATTTCTTGTAGAATATTCCCCTGTCAACTTATGAATAAGAAGTAATGCTTGGGAGGGAATGTTGGAGGTAAAGTAAAGACCAAAAATCTCTTGAATACTCTTTCTGTAAATGAAGATCAATGAAACAGTTGTTAGACTGTGCCAATGTATTGCTAGCATAGTAGCATGGGTCTGTATGATACTGCATCATCATGAGAGTAAGAAAATTGACAATCTCTTGCTAGCTTGGGCATTATATGTTCAACTAGTATTGTTTGTGAGAAGGAATATAAACTTTGATTAAACTATTTAAAAACAAGTTCAAAAAAGAAATTAGGCAGATCAGTTTTTTTCTCTTTATTTATGAAATATGTCACTACTGCAAAACCAAAATATATTAAAGTACAAAATGATAAAGAAGAATCATATTTTGTTTCCCAAGTCACCCTTCTTATTGAGGATTACATACACAGCGATGAGTTTGTCTTCTTGTCTTACATTGCATGGGAGTAAAGAACTGCTAGCCTGTGTTTGAGAGGTGGAGAGCAGACTAATATGCTGATCTGCCAAGGCACCGTCACCTTTCTTGGAAAAAATGAAAATATACGTAGAATTGTATGCAGAAAACGATGACATTGCAATACCACTGGAACATGAGGAAGTTCACGAATATTTATATCTGCTTGCTTTTTTATTGATTTTGATTAATATTACAATTGATGTTCCTCATTGTTACAGAGGATATGGTTACTTTTTTGTGATGATGAACATTAGTTTTATAAACATTTATCATGCTTTTTCAGGCATTGTTGGTACTGATATATATACACCTCTTCCTTTTTTATATATAAAGAAGTCTATTGTTTAAATATTATGCATCCAGATTTTTTTGTTTTGCATCTGACTCGTGGTCTTTAAGAATTTGAGCATGGGAGGCAGCTAACACTGTCTTGGCATGTATTTCAGTTTGACATGCAAAATTGTTATGTGTTCCAGCTTAGTTAAAACAAAAAGAGCTTTGTCTAAGACCAGCAAAATGTAATACAGAGTTCAGATATGTCTTAGCATGGCAATTTTTATTTTTTTTATTTATTTTTTTGAATAAGTCAGCAAAGGGAATGTAAGACCTATATTGTGCTCAAACCGGTAAATTTAGTCGCCAAAAATGTAATCCAAGTGATCATAGATTAAAGAACCTTCTTCAATAGCAAGATTTTTCAATCATCAGAACAAGAATATCAAGCATGTCATGGAAGTGTGATTTCCAAAGACAGAGCAACTACAGTAATCCCATGTTCGTGGTGTAAAAAACAAAAAAAACCTTGTGCAATAGTGCTTATGTGATGCTGTGACCGTCAGCCTTATGGGTAGTGTCGAAGAGCTCATACTTTTATCTGTTGTTATGCAAGTAGAGGATCAACAGATTCCCAGTTGAAGGCCTGTGGACAGTTCCTTCAATACATTTTTTAACCTTGGAGAGTAGGAGACATTCTGGTTGACTCGTTTCCCATCTTTTCTAGAGCAAATGATTCGTGCTCAAGGTTTCTCATACAAATGCCAGGATGTCATGCCCACTTTGAATTCATAGCATAGACAATAATAAGTTTTGACAATGATGTAAAAGAAGGAAATAAAGAAGCCATGTTCTTTTCTTGGCAGTTGTCTAAGAACTCTTGTGCCTCACTAAGTGAAATGGACTTCTACCACCCCCTAATCTTAGTAATATAGTAGGTATTCTCAGACTTTCCACCAGTTTAATGCTAATGTGAGATGTTAGGTCAGACTTGCTACATTTAGATATGACCATGTTGATCCTGTAAGTATCTGTGATTTCTTAAGAGTTGGCAAATGTGTTTGTACAATCTATAATGTCTTTTTGTGTAAAATTGTACGATATTGTACATGTGTATCTTGTTTAGGAGAATTTGTTTCATATTGCTAAAAGAAAAAAAAAAAAAGTATATATATATATGTCTCACTTAGTATGCTGTTATACTAAAGTCCCACTTGAGTAGAAATCAGTATCACATCTAAAGAGAAAGGAGAGGAAGAGAGAGAAAAAAAAAATCGAGTATCAAGGCTTTTGTAGGATACAAGATCAGCACAAGAGCCTGTTAGGTGGGGCTTTGGTCAAAGTAACTCCTCCTACATATGATGTTAAAAGATATTCTTAGAAGTCTTATTCAGGATTTCAAAAAATAGGTAACGTTTGTTTTCATTGCCTCCATGGTCATTCAGAATGGAGTAAATTTATATTATGTGAGGCACTATGGCATTGTCACCTAACAGCACAGTGATTCTGGTTACTATAGTGGATGTCATCACTTGTGGGGTAGGTAGCAAGAATAATTGCGTGTAGCATTCGGTTACCATCAGAAGAAACTCATTTCAGCCGTGGATGGTCCTGAAACAAATTCAGTGAACCACCGTAAATAATGTGTATAAAAAAAAGGAAAAAGTCCAGTATTGGTAAGATTGCTATTCTATTAGATGCAAGAAGGAAAGGTTGAATACAAAGATTAACATCTAGTCGTAAATGCTGTTAAATTTTGTTCAGCTGCCTGCCCATAGTGATGTTCTCTATGCCATATCCTTAATGAGTTGGTAGATTGTCCTTTTTGTGAATTTTTTCCTTTTTTTTTTTAAGTGTATTGAATGATGTTGATTACAGCATTTACCAGTTCATTTTCTTTATGGAATTGTTATGAATAAGTTTATTTTGCAAACGGATCTCAACAGGTGAAGGTTACGAGACATCTTATATGTTGACCTGTCATTATGAGCCTAAAGTGTTCACATCAGAAGATACAAACTGACAAAATGATGAACAGGAATATGGTTTTATGTGAATTCCTCTATTGTATTATGTAAATCAAACCTTTGGAAATCTGTGGTTCATAATACATCTATTCATATAAA